TCATTTTACCCTTAAATGATAGTAAGTTTTTATAGCCACAAAAATGCCATAGTCCCACAAAGTTTTTGCCCCTTAAGCTTTTAGGACCACATGTTTCAAAAGTCTTTATTTTTTTCTTAAACTTTGTGTCAAGTCAAATTATATCATCTAAATTGAAACTATGGGTGTTTAACGGGTTGGCGGGTCGGTCCGGGTTGAGAAAAAAGGTGACCGGCCGGTTACCGGTTTTTTCAAACTGGGCTTAACGGGTCCGGGTCCATCTGGGTAAAAAATGAACCGGAAAGGTGCAAAGGCTTTAAAATCTTATAAAAAGAGTGTCTAAATATAATGATGCAAAGGCTTTAAAATCTTTATATTTGAAATTTTGAATATCTCATTTAGAATTTAAGAAAGAGTTAGAGGGAATGCACCGAATTCGGCAATAAATTGAACACTTGAAAGAGTTTGAAGTTCAATTTTTCAAACTTCAAATAATAAATAATACGATAAATTAAATTCAAAAAAGAATGAGAGCCAAATAGTTGATTGCACTTTAGGTGAAGAATGAGAGAATGATAATTGAAAATATGAGTTTGAGAAATGAGAGATGAGTGAAGAAATGAAGAAGAGAGGGGTGTATTTATAGTTTTAAGGGCTAAATTAGTAATTAGTAAAAGTATTATTTAAAAAAAAAATTGCCCAAAAAAGGGCTATTTTTGCAATCCACCCATTGGGCAACGGCCAAATTGAAGCTGACCGTTAGGTTTGTCTACTTTTTTCTTTTTTGCTTAAATATAATTAATCATTTAAATTATATTAGAATACATTTATTAGTGGTAAATATTTATACAATTATGAAAAGTAAATATATCAACAGAAATATACATTCCATGTTAGATATAATGATAACTGCCATTAATATTTTATATATTGGATATTTCAATTGATTTTCTAAATTTTCAATGAACTAATATCTTAATGGTGTATAGTTTTAGTAGCTTAATAAAAAAATAGAGAAATTTCCTTAAGGAAAATGACACTGTATAATATACATTCTGTATGTTATATACAAAATTATAAAAATTTTATACACTTTTCCGGTTACCAAATGTAAATAGTTTCTGGCGCAGGCTAAAAGTGATAATACCCCTTTTCCTTACTCTTAATTATATAAATATTATATTTTATCTCGATGTCAATTGTTATTACATATAATTCATTCTTATTCTAAATTTTATACACTTTTTATTAATAGACGTAAAAACACGTGCAGAAGGATTTGATAGTTGAACCATATCTATTATTCTAACATAGTTAAGGTTGCATATAACCTCATCCAATAACAAAGTTCAACTTTAATGACATCACAAAATATAAGTCAAGTTTGTGGATGATTTATTCTTTTTAAGATTATAAGGTATAATTTTTAAGAAAATTAGAATAATAACGTAGACTAAGTAGTAAATANTAGTTATTATAAAAGCATGAATACAATGTTAGTTTACAAAAATAACCTTATAATATTAAGCATAATAACTCATAATAAAAGGACATAACCGGAATTCTAGATATTAGCCTTATAATCCTATTAGTTTTAGGACATAATACTACACGCTAGGAATCCTACATGATTGCCTTTAGGAATCCTATTAGTATAATTGCTTTCGGGTTGTCTAATTCATATAAAATTGAACAAGTAAATACCTTCAGTCATGTAATCCTGTTACTATTAAGATATACTTCTTAAAAATTCCTATTACTAATTTAATTTGATAACGTATTATAATATCCTATCACTAATTTAATTTGAGAATTTATTATATTGTTCAAATCCATTTAGAAAAATATGAGCATATATTATTATAAAAGCATAAAAATAATATTAATATATCAAAAAAGTCCTAAAATATTAAACGGAAGAACTCACAAGGAAAGGGCATAACTGCAATAATCTATTTTTTTGGACTATAACACCTTCTATGCTAATTTTTACAATATTTAAAATTTTAACATCAATAAAAATTTGTCGTTAAATTCTTATTAAAAACATGTAGGAAGGTTTAATAAAACTCAATTTCATAATAATCCTCTCTATTGGCAATACATTACAACTCCATAATATCCAATATGAAGAAAAAATAAAAGTAATATTAAACGGACTGCATAAATAGTTGAAATTGAGAAAAAAATACCCCCATGATAATATATTTTTATGTTATATTTAAACGACTTTCCTACTCAAACAATATCTTTTATCACTTTTTCGTGTAATACTGAAAAACACCCAATTATTAAACAACAATTAAGAAAATATTTAAGAATATATGTGTGAAAAAGAAAAAAAAATGGTTGGTAAGAGTCAATACCGCTAATGATTCTACAAACATAAAGATCTAAAAGTGAAATGTCATATCAATCTTTTACTCTTTGAAAATAAAATTTATGGTGGATAACATTATATTTAAGATTAAATATTCAAAACAAGAGATGAACTAATATTAAGATCTGAATCGACATAAAATGAATTATTTTTTATGTTTAAACCAAATAATTAAATCTTTTAATTAATTATTTAGCAAGCGAATCCAATTCAGTTATTTTTAAATTCATCATATGAGTAAAATTCTTATTCAAGTTAAAAGAAAAAAACTTAGGGTACATAAATTTATTCCATAAATAGAGCGTTAGAACACTAAGTAAAAAGGTTACAACAACAACAACAACAAACCCAGTATATTCTCACAAGTGGGCAAAGTAAAGAGGTTAGTATATTAAAAATCAAAATGTAATACAAGTGTCTGAGAAAGCACAATCAAAGCTAAATCCTAAACAAGAACAAGTTTTCAAGACTATATTATAAAGAGTCGATTATGGTATAGCGGGATTATTCTTTGTATATGCCTCTGACGGAATCGAAATAATATTTCTATGTCATGCATTACTTGAAAATATCAATCAAGAGGCATGCAATTGTTAGCAATAATAGCAAATGGTGTACCAACAACGATTAGTTGTGAGGCCACCCACTTTAGATTTGATATAACTCTTCAAACAACTTAAATAACCATCACAAATATATCAAGGCAGAGCAATGGTGCTAAATTTATAAGGAAAGTAAAATTGATAATATGGGATGAAGCATTTATGGCTATATGGCAAACGGTCGAAGTAATTGCTCAGAGTTCTAGAGATATATCGGATATTAATATACCAGATGAAAAATTAATGGTTTGGGAAGTTATTTCTGTCAAGCACTACCAGTAGTTCCAAAATCGACAAAAGCAAAGACTGTAAAAGCTAGCTTGCCAAAGTTATACTTATGGCCTCAAACGAAAAAGATTCAACTGACAAGAAATATAAAGTAAGAACAGATTCAGTATTCAGTGTCTTCTTGCTTCGTGTCGGAAACGAAAAAGAGCATCCAATAAAAGATGATTTGGTTCTTCCTGAACACTTGGTTATCAATCTCAATGGTAATAGTAATGCATTTAAAAAGAGAAATACTTTTATCATTAGATTAAAACGCAATTTGTGCAAATCGCATGATGGAATTAAAAAGATATCTTAGCTAGAAGAAATGAATAAGTTGATCAACTAAATAAAAAGTTGATTGCAAAATTTTATAGAAAAACAAAACATTTTCAGTTTTTTGACTTAGAAAAAAATGATACCAATAATTACTACCAAGAAGAATACTTAAATACTTTAATACCAAAATGGCCCTCTACCATACATGTTTGTTGTCAAGTTTCTTATTTCTTACGTATGTTAGTGTCACCGTATATATAATAGACTAAGTTAAAATTGATCTTCCATTGTATATAGGTTAATTGTGAAGAAAAATATGTCTGTCATGCTACTGAAAAACTTAGATAAGCCGAATATCTCATGTAATAGCACACAGATGGTATATAGATATTTTGACAATAACATCATACATGCAAAAATTATGATACAGGTTAATGTGCTTCTAAATATATTCTTATCCTTGAATTCAACATTCGTCTTTCGAAACTAAGGAATATCCTTTTAAATTTGTGTGAAAATAATTTTTAGTATGTTTATGTTTTGCAAATATAATATATAAACCACAAGGACAAACATTCTAAATACTGGACTATATTTACCGCAAATATATTTTCTTGCACGAACAACTGTATGTTGCACTTACAAGAGGGATATCAAGATTGATAACAAGAGTTATGATTAAGTAGAACAATCAATGCATTAGGAGGAAACATACAGAAAAAATATTGTCCACAAAGAAGTATCCGTTAAGATACCATCACATTAAATACTTTTAAACTATAATATATAATTATCTAACTAACATGACAAAATTAATCATTTATGTAAGTTTTGATGATGTCCCTTTACTTTAAATTCACGTATTATGCTATTATAATAATATTTTTCGACATTTAGATGATTGTTGTATTATTATACATAAAATTTCTCTCATTAATTAAATTTTATTGTTTCTTGATATCAATAAATATTTAAATCATCACGTGCCATTTCATAGATACAAGTTAATTTAAAAAGTATTTTTGAGCAGCAATTAGTTTTTATCCAAGTTTTTAAAAACCGCTTCTAAATGTATTTTTTTTCTTCAAAAAAGTACTTTTTGGAGAGAATTTACTTTTTTCTGCTTCTACTTTTGCTTAAAACCACTTTTTTTTTTCCGTTTTAAAAGCTTGGCAAACACTTCAACTTTGAAAAAAGAAAGCACATTTTTTTTTATGTTGGGTAAACAAGCTATTAATATGTTGGGCCAGTGCAATCCCTCTAATTTTTTCTTGTTAAATTAATCCGATTATCCGCTCACTCAATCGCTTAAAGTAAAAATAACCACCTATTATATAATATATGTATAATTCATATTTATTATGTGTATAATCGTATATAGTTAATACATAATCTATGTGAATGATTAGAAAAAATAAATAAAAAATATGACAGGCTATTTGGATTAACATTCCTTTTTTACTCTCGTTCAAACAGGTCGGCACCTTAGGGATCCATGGCCCAAATTTGAATGGATCTCCAAAAATGATCCATTATATAAACCCACTCAAAAAAACCCTAACCTCCTCATAGGCGCAGCTGAACACATCTACTCAGGTCAGTTAACTCTTCCTTTTTAGATATAAGGAGTACGATATGATATTCGGCGTTTCTTTTGAGTGATAATCATAAGTTGAAAAGCAGGTCGAAGATGAGTAAAGGAAGCAGTGGAGGAGGAGCCACCAAAGGTGGAAAGAAGAAGGGAGCAACATTCGTAATTGATTGTTCAAAGCCAGTGGAGGATAAGATCATGGAAATTGCTTCACTTGAGAAATTCCTGCAGGAACGCATCAAAGTTGGAGGAAAAGCTGGGGCTCTCGGTGACACTGTCACTGTCACTCGTGACAAGACCAAAATTACCGTCACCTCCGACACCACTTTCTCCAAGAGGTAAATATCCTCTATTTTCTCAAGATATGATAATCTATATGAATGTTAAAATGTTTTTTCTGTTTATCAGCTATGAATGTTGAAAACTTGAAATTTATCGAGCATTGAAAATTCCAAAATAAATGGTGTAATAAAAGTTTACCAAATTAAAAGTAATTTAATTGGCGGACAATGACTTGATTGATATTAAGAAACCAAGATCAAAATTTACTGGACCAGAACGATATCCTTAGAAGTTTAATTTGCTGAACACGTAATTGATTGAATATTAGCCCATGAAGTATAAGAAAATTGGAAACGTATTTTAATTTATTTTTTTCCGGTGTCATTTAGAATGGGTAAGGCCAAAATAGAAGTATATTCATAGCTTCAGAGAAGCTGATTGCAAACTGAAGTTTTGAGTCTGGCACGGGTTGAGTTTGGGCACTTAAGGGGTTGCATTTGGCTAATTTAATTTTACGGGACAATATGGGTTCTGCCCAAAATAGCCCATCAGGAAAATCTTTCATGCCCAACCCATTAAATGCTGGGCGGGTTTATTGGTCTTGGGTCAATTCTACCAGCCCTAAAGGCACTTCTGAATTTGCTTTTTCGACTTGATACCATTAAATTCCCAGTTTCCTGCCATGCTTATTTTCTCTAGAAGTCTCTGTAGTGTGATTCTAGTTATATTAGTGGTTGTTGTAATGAAGTTAAGGAGTCTAGTATTGTGAACTTTCAGTCTATGTGGCTCGGATCCTCCTAAATGTTGTCGTACAAGTGTCCAAAAGTAAATAAATTTGAAGGATCCGATCCACACTTCACGGTATTTATGAAGGATTCGAGCAACATAGCTTTCACTTGTGTCTTATGTCTCGCTCATATTTTTCTTTTAATCTGTGTAGAAACTAGGAATCTTTAATTTATATAGGAACTAGCTAAGGCATTTGCAGTAGATACTTGCATTATGCCTACTGTTATAAAAATTAGGCGATTTGCGTTGTTTTATTGTGCTCTATTTTGCCAGGTTCCTGGTTGCAGATGCATTTTGTCTTGAGATGTTCCCAACCATTTGTTTCTAAGTAATGATGTTATATTCTTTAACCAGGTATTTGAAATACTTGACAAAGAAATATCTAAAGAAGAATAACGTGCGTGATTGGCTTCGAGTTATTTCTTCAAACAAGGATCGCAATGTGTACGAGTTAAGGTACTTCAACATTGCTGAGAATGAGGCTGAGGAGGAAGATTGAGAACTAGAAGCAGTAGATTGTAATTGTTCTCTCTTTTTTGACATAATTTACACTTTTTGTCTGGAATCAAATCTTTTGCATTTTTGCCCTGTTTTTAAGGGAGAAATGAGATTGTGTTACTGGAGTTGGTTTATTTCTTCTATACCTTAGCTTTTAACTTTTTGGGTTCGTTTTGTGCCAATTGCATTTGAGGAGAATACAGGTAAATATTAATTGTCATCTCAAAATCAGGGTGAGTCACAACACCTATTTATTCTGTTTTTGGGCCCAAAACCCCTTCATTCAAAGAACATGTTTACTAAATTACAACTTATCTTAGAATTCATCTTTAGATTTTGTGGTATAGGGTCAACTTAAAGTTTGATTATGCTCAAATTAAATGTGACGATGCAGCAGTTGATCCAATAATTAGGAAGAAGTATATCGACAGAAAGAAAATTTTATGCAGAAAGCGCGTAACGATGTGAAAATAATCGCATAATGCTCAGTTACTTGATTTTTTAAGAAAAAGAAAACTCACTTTTCTTCTCCCTCAAGAACTCCTTTTAATTTTTCGAACATATGATAGATTAAATGTTAGTATCTCATAAATCAAAATTAATTTAATTAATATGACTAGTTATTTGATTGTAAATCCCAGTAGGAAGATAATTAGATAACTTCGGAGATCGAGGCAAATCCAGAAATCAGAATAAGTCATTCGGGGACGTTTGTCGGTAGGATTTCTTCCCTTTTTTAGCTAGCTACATATGATCAATATCTATTACTTTTAGAAATATATATATATTTTTTAACTTTTACCTTATAACTTAAACACATTGTTTAATATTATTATATATTTTTGTAAAATTATATAGTTACTGATATGATATACACGTGCAAAGTGCGTGGCAAAAGAATGGTGCGCATAAAAAGTGAATTTTGGTTCAACCAAAGATACGATTAACAATTTCTATAATAATAAGAGAATGTGAAGTTCTTTCTTAATTTAAGGGTGAATTAAAAATTTAAATATCATGGATCTAAATATATGAAGGAGAAAATGAAACAATAGTATAAAACTATTGATAGATGGGGTATTATCACGTTTAGCCTGCGCCAGAAACTATTTATATCTGATAGCCGAAAAAGTATATAAAATTTGTATAATTTTTGTATATAACATACAGAATGTATGTATATACATAAATATGCAAATTTTATATATTTTTCTTCTGTATGTATATACATAAATATACAAAATTTATATATTTTTTCGGCTATTATTTTTACACCAGCTATACAAGATCATTTTTCCTTGATAGATCGACATGACCTGTATCCATCAAATCGAAAAAAAAATTGTGGGCCAATCCACGTTTCTTTTATCCTATAGAAAGTATTTCAAAATTTAAAAGTATCAATTTTTGTAACAGAAATGAATAAGATTATAAAGTGTATATCCATGGATGGAAGATTAATAATATACTAGAGCAGAAAGCAACGGAAATAAAGATCGGACATACCTCCAACCATTGTTACGGTGTCGTCGGCGACAGAAGTTTTTCTCCGTTGAGTCTTTTAAGCACTTCAGAAATCCTCAATAGATGGAATGGTAATTAAGAAAGGTTTTCTGTGCTTAGGGACCTCAAACAGAGTTAGCTATATTTGTACTGTTCTTCCATCAAGAACAGTTACTAGATCAAATTTATAAATGGGTATCAGTTTCTTGCATATGAGCAGTTACAAAAATTAAAGAAGTGGAATTAAAGAAAGGGGTTTCAATTAGTCCATTAAAGGACCACCTTTCTGAAACCTTCAAACAATACGTTATCAACATTCTCCCACTTGGTCCGTATACAAAATGCTCAAAGTCGTAGTTTTAATGCTTTAAAGAGAATCATAATACATGAATCATGGCAATAGTTCCTCTAAGAGCGAGTAGTATCGTCCATGTATTACGATGCATTATGCCTCTAAGCTTTAGCACATACTTTTTAATGAATAAACCCAATGTTTATTCTAGGTCCATATTTTAGTGATATTTCTCAAAATAACTGAATGTGTACACAATAACAATATGAGAAATTTCATAATAGAGTTCCATCAATATTTGTTATAACGAAATTTACCTAGTGGAACCAAGTCCCATTGTAATTACATGATCCTTAATTTTTTGTGGTGGCATGCCTTTAGTTAAAGGACCAGCTAACATCAATTCAGTGCTAATGTGCTCAATGACCACTTTTTTGTCTTTAACACGTTCTCTTATGGCTAGATACTTAATGTCGATATGCTTACTTCGTCTCCCACATTTGTTATTCTTAGCCCGTTAGCCATAAAGACAGCAATTGAATTATCACAATATATCCTCAATGGCCTAGAGATCGAATCGACAATTCTAAGCCCCGAAATGAAACTCTTCAACCATACACCATGTGAGGTAGCCTCAAAACAAGAAACGAACTCAGCCTCCATAGTGGAAGTAGCAGTTAGAGTCTATTTGGAACTCCTCCAAGATATAGCTCCACCGGCCAGCATAAAAATGTATCCTGATGCTGATTTGCGCGAATCAACACAGCCAGCAAAGTCTGAATCAGAGTAGCCAATTACCTCCAAAATATCTGATCGTTTGTACATAAACATGTAGTCTTTTGTCCCTTGAAGGTATCTTAAAACTTTCTTTGCAGCTCTCCAGTGGTCAAGACCTGGATTACTCTGATATCTTCCCAACATTCCAATAACAAATGCAATATCAGGTCTAGTGCAAATCTGAGCATACATTAAGCTTCCAATAACAGAATCATATAGAATATTTTTCATTTGTTCCCTCTCAAGGTCGTTCTTCGGGCACTGGTTCAAATTGAACTTGTCACCCTTTACTATAGGAGCTAGACTTGGTGAACAATCCCTCATCCGAAACCTCTCTAAAACTTTGTTGATATAGGTTTCTTGAGATAGACTTAAAATAACTTGATGTCTATCTCGATGAATCTTAATACCAATGACATAAGATGCATCACTCATATCTTTCATATCAAAATTTTGAGAGAGAAATTATTTCACCTCATATAGTTGTAACGACCCGACCGGTCGTTCTGAGCAATTGCACTTTGCTCGGTAGTTTTCGGGCATGAGTAGCTCCGTATGGTGATTTTAGACTCAAGAGTGTGTTCGGAAAATTACTTGGGAGTATGTAGTTTAATTAGGCTTGAAATGGCTAAAATGGAAATTTAAGTTTGGAAGTTTAACCAAGGAGTTAACTTTTGATATCGGGATCGAAATTCGATTCTGGAAATTGAAATAGCTCCATTATGTCATTTATGACTTGTGTGCAAAATTTGGGGTCAAACGGACGTGATTTGATAGGTTTTGGCATCGGTTGTAGAAGTTTGAGGTTTCAAGTTTATTAAGCTTGAATTTGTGTGCGATTCATGTTTTTGTTGTTGTTTGATGTGATTTGAGGGCTCGACTAAGTTTGCGTGGTGTTTTTAGGACTTGATGATACCTTTGATTGAGGTCCTGGGGGCCTCGGGTGTGTTCGGAGGTGAGTTTTGAGCGAGTCCGGGCATTTCGGCACTCTGATATTGTCTGGTACTTTCGGAAGTGCGGACCGCACATTTTGGAGTGCTCAGGCGAAGGAGAGGTGCGGACCGCAGCAAAAATATGCGGACCTCAGAGGAGGAGTGCGGACCGCACAATTTTATGTGCGGCTTCACATCAGGGAGTTCTGTAGATTCGTTGGTCCGACTTCAGAAGCTTTTATCTTTTGATCCACATGGAATTTAGAGATGATTCAAAAACGAAAGTTGTAGACCTTCGTGTCTAGTTTCAAGAAACGTAAAGAAATCATCATTTGGACATATGTAGAGAAAGTTATGGCCAATTTACTAAAATATGATAGTAGAGAAGCTGTGAAGTGCGGACGCATAATTTTTGTGCGACCGCAGGACTTAGAAAGGCGTGACCGCACTTGGAAATGTGCGGACCGCACATTGGGAGGTCAGAGGGTGTACTATATAAACGAGGCTTAGGGTATTATTTCATATTTTGGACCTTGGGAGCTCGGTTTGTGACGATTTTTCGTGGGTTTTTCAAGAAATTCATCAGGGTAGGTGATTCTAACTCAGATTTGGTTAATATACATGAATATATCATTGTTTTCATCATCTAATTAGTATTTTGAGATGAAAATAGGAGGTTTTGGCCTAAAGTTTCATAATATAAATTTTTGAGTTTGAACACCGATTTGGAGTCGGATTTGAGTGAAACTAGTATGGTTGGACTCGTAATTGAATGGGTTGCCGGATTTTGTGAGTTTTGTCGGGTTTCGAGGTGCGGGACCGTGTGTTATTTTTGGCCAGATTTGGGATTTGATTTAGGATTCGATCTTTATCAATTGTAATTGATTCCTTGAGCTTTATCTGATGTATTTGAGTTGTGTTTGGCTAGTTTAGAGCCGTTCAGAGGTCGCTACGCTTGGGATGGTATTTTTGGAACATCGCTTGGCTTGCTCGGTATTGAAATTGGCTTGTTCAAGATAAGTAACTCCTCTAAACTTAGTGCTGAGGGTATGAAACCCCGAATTACGTGTTGTGTGTTGGTATTGAGGTGACGCACATGCTAGGTTACGGGCGTGTGGGCATGCACCCTGTAAATTGTGACTCTGTTGTTTCCATGGTACAGTATAGTGGCCCTACTTTGTTGATATTCGTGTTTTCATCATGCTGTCAATCATGCTAGATATCATGTTTAGGCTTTATGCCGATACTGTTGGGATCCATAGTGGTCATTTCTTGCTATCATTTTACTGATTTCATTGCTATTTCGTACTTAGTCATATTCATGCATTCATATCATACCTCAGTCTCAGTTGTTATTTATTGATACATCATATAATTGTTGTCGGGCTAGCTTCATGACATTGTGAGCCCGTGAGTGACTAGAGAAATTGATGACTGAGTGAGGTCGAGGGCCTAATTGTGAGGTTATTGATACTATAGCACGTGAGTTGTCCGTGCGGATTCTGAAATGATACTATAGTACGTGAGTTTTCCGTGCAACACGTGAGTTGTCCGTGCGGATTCTGATATTGATACTATAACACGTGAGTTGTTCGTGCATCACGTGAGTTGTCCGTGCGGATTCTGATATTGATACTATAGCATATGAGTTGTCCGTGCAGCA